GAAGCAGACAGACGGTTGGTACCATTACAGTAAACACAGATGGCAGGAGGGGCAAATAGATAGCTCTTTAATTGAGCACTTCTATGTGTGGGTGTGTGTGAGGGAGAGAGAGAAACTGGGATCACTGTCATTCAGATGGCATCACTACTGTAGCGTGGAAGAGGGAGTTTTGATAGATAAACTGTGAGAAAACTAGCAAAAGGAATTTTTCAGTATTGTTATAGGGAAGGCAATTGTAGTGTGCAAATTACACTTTCTACTACGTGCACAAAAAGCTGTGGTCATCATAATATCAAAAAGTAGCAGCATTCACATAAATCCAAACATTTCAGTCTAGCCAACATTGGCCCACATTCCTTGACACCTTGTACCAATTAACTAATTAATGACTTCACGAGGCGGAACAAAGAGCTGAAACAAAGCTGCACCCACTATGTCAATTGTGACTCAAATGAAAACACAGGCCTCGTTTTGGTTGAAAATGCAAAGCTGAGGACAAGTTCAGCACTTTAAAAATTGAGAAAGATTGCGACTGAAAGCAAATGCGACAAGGCTCCTGTGAAAGTAGCCCTGCCATCTCAAGCATGACATAAATCTCTTGATATCAGTGCGGCATCAGCCGGTGAGTATCCGACCTCTAAACTGACCAAAAAAGTAATGACTTCTGATGCCCTTTCACAGTCCCATTCATATCTGCGAGCAAATCACATGAAATAAAAAGCACATTTGATAATATGATGTAATGTGTCTGCTCAAAGTTAATACGTGGCCGGAGTTTCTTACCCATGTCTGGATGATGCGTTCGAGGACCTTTCGTCTACTGTTTGCTGCCTGCTCTGCAGCTGATCCGCTGATGATATGCGCAACTGGTCTCCGGCCCCCGTATATCAACCTCAACTCGCTTTCTGTTCCAACAATGGACAGACCCACTGATGACTGCAAGGGCAATCTTAAAGAAACAATGTCTCTTTTCAATTAACTTCGTGGCGGAGAATAATGAGGAGGTCAAGGTTCTTACGCTTGCAGAAATGTTCTTAGTTCATTGTTGACGCACATTTGCACGTACAGAGAGCAACTTCATATGCAAATACAGAAAGAAACGAAAGAAACAACTTTTGTGAGTCAGCCACCCCAACTCTAGGACAAACAGTCCTTGGTTCTCAACGGCCTTTTGTTTTAAAGCCAACATCTAGAGCCTGATCAATACAACTTAATACAGCTAATGGATCATAGTCTTTAGGGAAGGATGACACTGTATGTCCATGACCAGTGAAGGTGGTCTAGCGTTTCACTTTCAAATATAAGCCTGTGGAAAGTCAGGTGATGCTCTCCAGACTAAGGAAAGTGTCATATATTTAACTGAAGTGTCTTAAATTCAGTACTGAACGTGCCAGATCCCAGCTAACAAAGCTGACATGCTTTATCATATCTCTTAAGTGGGTCTATTTATTGCTGGAATGTTCATTTTATAAAATAAAGATTAAAGTGGCGTTCACAAACCATGAATATGTGGATTATTTGATTCAGATAGTGCCTATATAAACCGGGGTAATTCTGAGCATCACTACAGTGAGATCCTTTGATAAGCATCACTGCTATTTTAACTAGACTGGATTGTTATGTCATATGGGATCATCCAACCCCAAATGGCCAATAATTCACTGGCCATTTGGGTTGGTGCCAGCTGTTTTCTTTGTCCATGTCAGCTCATGAAACCCATAACCCACTATTAAATGTTCAGCTTTAGTAAAAAAAGAAAAACTGGATTTGATTAAGATGAGATGTTCTGTGAGCGGAGCAGAGCAGCATGCAGCAGAGAAGCATCACTGATCTCAGGTGACCCGACTGTGACAGAGTGAGAGACTGTCCTCTGATTCATCTACACACCCTCTGGCAAAATACTAGAAATAAAGAGCAACATTTGGCTTTACCAGTGTCCAGCAGATGGCAGGCTTTCTCCTGCCATAGCATTTGTGAGTGTGGCAGACACATGAGGAGTTTAATCCCACAATACAAATTATATTTTGAGAAAAGTCAATTTTGTCAGAAAGCTAATCAAAACATGTTGCTCCAAAAATACAGTCTGGAAGCATAGCTAGATATTTAATTTAACAGGTCAAAAATGTCTGTTGAACCACAAGTGTTTTTTCAAATTTGGAATATTAATGGATTTAATGTTTTAATGGAATCTGTTATTCCTTATGTCATTACGCTTCTTTTATTTGTAGATTTATTTTGTAGCTCTTTTGTTTCTCTCTGTTAATGGAGTTGGTGTCACAGTACAACCTTATCAAATCATTTAGTTTCACATGGACTGTACTTATATAGCGCTTTATCCAGTCTTTAAGACTCCTCAAAGCGCTTTTACATATATGTCGTTCACCCATTCACACCCATTCATACAGAGCAGTGTATGTTACTCTAGGAACTAACATGCATAAACATTCACACACGCAACTCAGGGTTAAGTATCTTGCCCAAGGATACATCGACATGTTGACTGCATGGGCTGGGATCAAACCCACAACCTTCTGGTTGAAAGACGACCGCACTCCCTCGCAGCCACAGTCACCCCTGCTTCAAGCCACTTGCTCAGAAATTCTCAGAGGAACACCATTCATGTTATACAAGCTTTGTTCTCCACTCTCCAGGTTGTTGTAAAGTGTGTTTTACAACTCTGGCCCACCTCTAACACAGGTATATCTTTAAATGATTGCTCAATAGTTTATGCTCTTAAAAGAAAAACTTTTTTACTTTTAAATCCAGACTAAAGACTTTTCTTTTTGCCGCTGCTTTTAATTGAACTATTCACATCTTAAACTGCACTGTAACTTTTATCCATGTATTTTTTCTTTTAATGTTCATTTTATTATCTTTTCTTTTTAATGACTGATTTTAAATGCCATTTTCTTAATGTCTTTGGTTTTTTGTAAAGCACTTTGAATTGCCTTGTGTTGAAAGGTGCTATATAAATAAACTTGCCTTGCCTATAAAGACAAAGCAAATATGTTGTATTGTTAAAAGCTTAAACAATGAATCTACCCTCTTTGTGTAATTGTATTTTAAACACATTTTAACCTGATCCTAGTTTTGATATCTCAATTCTTCCCCTGCATACAAATGTAACCCATGAGATTAACTGCTTTCTATAGCATGGGCGGTTCTAGGGGGGGGGGGGGGCAGTGCCCCCCTAACACTGACCTCTGACCCCCCTGTGGCCCCCCTAACAATGAAACGTTTTGTTGTTGTTTTTTTTAAATGTTAAATGTGTTAGTGCAAACATTGCACTATAACTTAAGCTGAAGCTAACTAATAACTATAACATATATCTGAAATAAATAAGTGTACTGAAACAAATACCAATAACTGTATTGCATTGTTTTCTTATACGCAATTACTTCATACTGTCTAGTTCTCTTTTTCGTCCTGCATTTATTGTGCCCCCCTCAGAAAATAACTGGCCCCCCAGTGGCCCCCCCAGTCAAATTGGTCTAGAACCGCCACTTTTCTATAGTATGATTTCTCTTGAAACATGTGTCGTCAAAACGAAACTGTGGGGTTTTCTGTTTGGATTATAGCAGGTTTGTCTACTTTTCATTGGATAAAATCCAGCACTGTGTTATGTGTGTCCCTCTGCCACCTCTCACCTGCACACAGCTGCGCCTCGCCTCCATTTCCTAATATGCAACATTTTATAAAAAAAATCGTTCTACATTAATATTTTCAAAGTACATAAACAATTGCTTCACAATTTTTTAATTAAACTACAGATAACTTGGTTGTAAAATGCTAATATTTTTTTATTATTATTAATATTATTATTATGATTTTCATTTCATTTAAAACCTTTATTTACCCAGGTGTATCCCATTGAGATCATTGATCTCTTTTTCAAGGGAGACCTGCTCAAGTAGGTTCCACATGAAACATAAAAACATAAACAGAACAACAAAAAGGACATCTTACAGCATCATTACAGGGATTACAATTTACAATAACTATCCACATGAGCAGGTACCAACAGCTTCCGATTGAGTAGCATCCAACCGAGCTTTAAAAACATTTAGTGACACCAGATTGCTCAGTTTCCATTTCAATTGCAGACTATTCCAAAAAAGAGGAGCTGCACATCTAAAAGCTTTCTTCCCTAAGACAGTCCTAGCAGTTGGCACATTTAATAAAAACACAGCATGCAATCTCAGGCAGTAGCCACTTACAATTCGCCGTGAGATCAGGGAGCAGAAGTAGGATGGAAGTTTCCCTAAAATGGCTTTATAAAAATGTACCAGTGACTGAGCCTCCGTACAGTTAGTGAAAGCAAACCAGCCCTTGCATACAGGGTACAGTGATGGGTTAATGCTTTACAGTTTGTCACAAATCTCAGTGCTGTGATGATACGCAGCATCTAACTTGACCAGGCAATTGGCAGGTGCATTCATATAAATCAAATCACCATAGTCCAGCACAGGTAAAAAGGTCACAGTGACTAGCCTTTTCCTGGCTTTGACTAGCCTTTTCCTGGCTTATTATTCACGTCTTATGTCTTATATGTTGCATTGTTGGAGGACCTCGGGACCTAAGAATTTCATTGCCATAACTACACTGTAGCTACTGTGCATATGATAATAAAACCCTTGAATCTTGAGTTTCTCTCAGGGCTGCTTCTTGAGAGACTTGCATTATCTCCACACCGGAGGAACAATAAACCCTTTTGTGTGTCAAAATACTTTAGACTTCCCACAACTCTGAAATCTGAGAAAGACCCAATCAATGTAGCAGACTATTATCTCAGTCTTGTTCTTCTCTCTGCTGGAGTTATAGAGAATAATCCCTTAAGATAATCAATGTATCACATTTTCATTAGCAATGCCTTGCAGTGGCATTTTAACACTTTACACACAACCTGTGTGTCAAATTACAATTGTCAATTTTTTCTCTGCTGGTAACTTCAAATACTTCACTTATCATACCACCCTTTTTATATTTACTCACCAGGCAGGTTATCAGAAAATGTATCAACTTTATTTTCACAGATTTGTCCCAGTTTGAACACACATTGTATCAGAATAACTCAATATCAAAATGCAAGACGAGTTTGACAAATATTCAGAATGTATTTGAATTACAGACTGATTTCATCCTTGACAAAGTGCGAGTGAGGATTACACACATTGCTTGCTTTATTCTGTTAGTAATATTTGTCTTGAAGCCTGAGTGGAATCTCATTCTCCTCAATGTGCCCCCTATTTTTATGATGAAGTCTCCTCTGCTTCAGGTGTAAAACAACTGTCGCCACAAGCCAACATGTGGACACCAGTATCATACCAAGGCCTACCAACAGTGTCAGCTGAGCAGATCTGATGTCCACTGCCTCACAGATTTGGGTCTTTTGGGGGGTTTGAACCAAGTCAGCTGTCCCTGACCAGGTGGGCTCCCGGTCCAAGTGGCAGGGCCCCACGCTCTCGTTGACCAACAGATTAACCCAGACAGTGGTATAAAGTGGAGCTGGCTTCCCCCCATCTCGGACCACAATGAACAGGTGATGCATTCCCAGGTCTTTCTGTAGGAGTTGCTGGGCTACAGTAATGTTTCCTGACATTGAATCTACTCGGAAGGGACTGGTGTTTTGCACTGGGTCTGGCATCACAACAGTGTAAGTAATCTCCGAATTGAGCCCTGAGTCCGCGTCAATGGCAAAGACCTTTGTTACAATGGTGCCTGTAACGGCTGTTTGAGAGACAGTCTGGCAGGAGGAGTTGCTGCTTGGAAGGACAACTTTCGGCTGGTTGTCATTTATATCCTCCACAAAGATAGTTACCCTGGCAGTGGAAGTCAAAGCGACCGGGTGCCCGTGATCGCTAGCCAGCAGGTAGAGTTCATAACGGTCGTGCGTCTCGCGATCTAAGTCGGTGGTGGTGTGCAGTGTCCCAAGGGTGTTATCCAAAACAAAAGGTCCACTGCTGCTCACAACATGCAACTCTGTGTTCCCATTCGCTCCTTCGTCTGGGTCTGTCACCCTAACCCTCCCCACCTGGGCAAACGGTTTTACATTCTCAGGCATGAAAAAGATAAAGTGAGGGGTTATAAAAACGGGTGCATTGTCATTCTGGTCCAGCACTTGAATGGATACTGTGGCCGCTGACTCTAATGGAGGAGAGCCGCTATCTTGTGCTAACACAGTGAGTGTGTGTGCATCCTGCCGTTCCCTGTCCAGAATGGCTGACACAGACAGCTGACCTGTATTGGGGTTAATGTTAAAGATGGAAGATGTGTGTTTGTCCAGACTGTAGGTCACCCTGCCGTTGTATCCACTGTCTGCGTCGGTTGCCAAGACCTTCAGCAGTGACATCCCTGGCTGGTTGTTTTCTTCCACCTCCAGCTTGCAGTGAGACTGGACAAAAATTGGAGCATTATCATTGACATCTGCCACCAACACCCTGATCGCACGCCTGGAATGAGTGATCACAGATCCTTCAGCATGCACTACAACAAAAATATGATGTTCTCTTTTCATCTCATAGTCTAGGGCCTTTGATGTGGAAAGGAGATATTTGCCATTCTGTGGGCTCAGAGTGAAAGGTACCTCGCCCTCAATGGCAATAGATGAGCCTTCAAATCTGCTGTCACCCTCAAGCTCTAAAACAGCTAAGACAGTGGGGGGTTGGTTCTCTGGTAACACCATAGTCTCATTTTGATGCTCCACTATGAACCCGATCTTGATTGCCAGCTCTTGGTTGGCCTTGTGGAGCACGGATACAGTTACCTGAGTGTCTGCTGGGGGGCAGTGATGACCGCTAGCTAACACTTTCAACAGCAGCTCCTCGGAGCTGTCACTCTGGAGGTCCTGTGTTAGTCTGATGGACCCAGTGAGGCTGTCAAGGCTTAAGAGATTCTTGGCCTGCTCTGAGACTTTGGGACTGAGGGAGTACACAATGGCAGCATTCGAGCCTGAATCTGGGTCTGTGGCCCTGACCTGAGCAACCAGCATGTTCTTCGGGGAGTCTCCGGGGATTCTGACGCTGCGGGGGCTGTCGGGGCTAAAGCTTGGACAGTTGTCATTAACATCTGTCACTGTGACTATTAAAGTCGCTGTAGCACTTAAAGGGCCTGTGCCACGGTCAGTGGCCACCAGCGTCATCTGATACATGTCCCGAGTCTCCCTATCCAGAGCTGTTTGCACAACCAGCATGATGACAGGCCCGTCTTCTACTGTTAAACTGAAAACTCCATCAGAATCTTCAAGCTGATACGACAGCTCACTGTTATACCCAGCATCCCTGTCCAGAGCCTGGTCATCCAATAAGAAACTGGTCCCCACAGACACGTCTTCAGACATCTTCAAGTGTATTTCACTGTTTTCAAAATGAGGCGCGTTGTCATTGATGTCCTCTATGATCACTGCGAACTGTATAAGGTCGCCTGAGGGCCCCACGACAGCATTGTGTAAAATAATGCATTCCTCAGTTTTTGTTTCCTCAGGGAAGAGGGCCTCGCGGTCCATCTTTTCCTCAGTGGTGTAGAAATCTCCAGTGTTTTTGTCCATCCACAGATACTTCTGCGTCAGTAGCTGGTACGGAGGTCGAAAGTGTTCACTAAGTGACCCCACCAGGACACCTGGTGCCTGTTCCTCTGGGATGGAAAACCGGACAGAACCACATATTATCTGCTGCAGATGGACCACAACCAGCAGAATCTGACAGGAGAAGAAACAAACTGTGAGCAGTAATTATTTTAACCCTCCTGTTGTCTTTGGGTCGAACCTGACCGATTTACTACTTTCATCAATCATAACTTTTTTGTTTTACATTCGATTGCATTAAGGCTTTATGATATCCTTCACAGTAGACATTTGAACATATACAATTGCTGATCACCACTTTCATTGCATTTTGGATGATTTAGTCAACTTAGTCACCCATGGTGTCAAAAATGACTTAGTAACCATCCGGATCAGATACAACGCACGCACGCACGCACGCACGCACGCACGCACGCACGCACGCACGCACGCACGCACGCACGCACGCACGCACGCACGCACGCACGCACGCACGCACGCACGCACGCACGCACGCACGCACGCACGCACACACACACACACACACACACACACACACACACACACACACACACACACACACACACACACACACACACACACACACACACACACACACACACACACACACACACACACTTGTTCACATTCCAGTCATGACACTTAAACAAAGGATGAGTGTAACAGTTTTTAATTTGTCAGTAAACTCATTTGTCAAAACTCCTCAGTACCTCTCCATGTACTCACTACAACATCAAATAGACATGACATAAGCTGCTGCTCATAACCAATTGCCCCTTGCGGGATTAATAAAGTTGTTGATTGATTGATAGGCCTACTACAGAAAAACATTGCAGATACACATAAGTAAACTATCAGAACGGATAATCCTCACATTGCTTTTGAGTCACTGACCTGCATTAGTCCAGCCCAGCTCATATTAATAGGAGTCCCATTGCCCATCTCGCTCACACATACCACCTAGGTTCTCCCAGCAGCAATGTGCTCTGAGGAAAGAGGAAGCAACCTTAACCTGTTCAGCTGAAGGCATCATGAATGACATGCCCCTCCTACAATATTTACCTGGTGTGTCGGAAGGACACCGGATAGGTCAGAGAAGGAACAGGTTTACCTGCCTTCTTTCATAAATTTGTCTAAAAGCTCAAGTTATTTGTAGGTTTAGATTTATTAAAAAAATAGAAAACTTAAAACATGATGAATTTCCCACCAATATTTAAAGCAACCAGGATTAGCTGCAATATAAAATGCTACACACCAGAATACACATAATGTTACTTTTAAAGGGGCTATTCTGCATAGCGACCACTTTTGATGAATTAAGTATAAGCCTTAATTTCTGCGATTGAGTATTTTAAATCAGGAAATAACTTTTACTTGGAGTGAAGGATAATGAATATTACAGTTGTCCAGACATTTCTCGTGAAAGGCTTCTATTGATGTCACTATCAACAACATTATATAATAATCTTCTCCATAGCTGCCCCTTTCCAACATGCGCTAACAAAATTGTACATGTTTTTGCTTTAAAGTAACTGTAAATAAATAAATACAATTATAATATTTCAGACTTTTGTTTTACACACACATACACATAGGCCTACTTCAACTTAAGTGCCACTTATTCAAGTCTGCCCAGAGTCAGGGAATGGGTATGAATCATAGACTGTAAAGGTATAGCCTACATTCATAAAATCAAGACTATGTAAGTAAAATATATCCCGTTTTCTATACATTAATTTTAATGTGATACGAGGTGACACAGGACCCTTACAAAGTTCTTAGAGTGATCATCATCGCCGTTTTTTTTTATTTTTCAATAAAGCTTAATTTAATTGTATGACTCCGAATGTATAAAACTTCCTTGTGCCAAAACACGATACGTATTATCAACAGTATTCGAGTACATGTTCTTTAAAGTCTAAACACATTTTCTTTATTTTAAATCATGCAAACCGCAACCTGAGTTACGTAATGGCTTATTTCCGTGCGTCTCATTTGCGTATGGGGTTCCTTCTCAACTTTCCGCTTACTTTTTTTTTCCAGTTACAGTAAACCTCTGAGGTTCTTCTGCGACATGATTGGCTGGTGTCGTCCTGCTAGCTCAGCGTGTGTGTGTGTGTGTGTGTGTGAGTGAGTGAGTGTGTGTGTGTGTGTGTGTGTGTGTGTGTGTGTGTGTGTGTTGGGAGGGCTTTATAATAAAACTACAGTCCTGCTGGTAAGCTTGAAACCATTGTGAACCCAGTCTCCCAGAAGCAGCAGCAGCATCAGCGTGGTGGTGTATAGTTTCTCTGCTCCAACATGACCTCAGACATTAACACAGGTGAGTGTATGAGCCATTCGTTTTAAATGATGACACAGTGATGGTGATCATAGGCTGTAACTAACTGCTTTCACCTCTACACATGACTTAATCCTGTTACATGAGAAATCAAAGTTACACTGAGGGAGAAGGCAGTTATGTAAATCAGATAGCCTGTTATGTTTTGGGCCATTTGCACATATTTACACATTTGAAAAGTTGTATTCTAATTAGGGCTGTCAAACGATTAACATTTTTAATCAGATTAATCACAGTTTAAAAATTAATTAATCATGATTAATCACCATTCGAACTATTTTCCAAAATATGCCATTTATTTATGTATATTGTTGTGGGAATGGAAAGAAGGCGGATATATCCATTTAACATACAGTATCTATGTTTATTATAACATTTTCTGCGTGTCAAAATGAAAGACAACCCACACACCTATCAATCATCAAACCGTGGGGTCTTATTTCATTACGTGTTGATTTCTATCAACGGGGGAGTACTTCAGGAAAGTCGACAGAGGGGGGGGGGCGGCGGCTCGTGGAGTACTTCTTGACCACAGAGTGTGAACGTTGTGATCAGCTGTTTTAGCGCAGTTCTCCAGTGAAGGGGGGGGGGAGAGAGAGTCTCCCTCCGCAGCCGGTTGGCGTAGTTTTGGCACAATTCCGTTGTACAGACCGACGTTAACAGCAGCCCTGTCTGTGCACACGGAGACCGACTCTGTCGTCCGGTGATCTAACCGCCTTCTGGAAAAGCTTCACAAGTACGTCGGTACGCAAATGCGCTTTGTGACACAAGTGACCGTACGCATTTCAGATTACACACATAACCTGCGTACCAGTTATGTGCACCCCATGTACTACAGCAAAAGTATTCTCCGTCGGGACTTCCTGCAACAACACCACGCCGTTATCAAATATGTTCTATTGAGAAGACGATCACTACGTGACAAAAGTTTTCAAAACCGTGGCTACTGAAATCAATCTTACTAACTGCTGTCTGTGCAATTTACTCTGCGCGAGTTGGCAGACTTTATTTTGCTTACTTTAACATCATTTTTCTTACTTTAACATCATTTTTCATGGTGGGGCTAAGCCATTTCTTGGTATGGGTGTAGCCTACCCCAGCCATACCCTGGCGCTGCCACTGGTGGCACGTATGGGGCGGGCCATTCTGCACATGCGTTAAATGCGTTAAATATTTTAACGCAATTAATTCAAAAAATTAATTACCGCCGTTAACGCGATAATTTTGACAGCACTAATTCTAATACATATTTAAATGTGTCTATCTGCTTATACTTTTCATTGTATATCTTTAAAACACTATTTTATATTGCATATGGGGACTGTTAAAGTGTTATCATATTCATAAAATGGTGGGTAAACTGAGTTGTGGTCATCCGTTCTTTAATGACTAGGAATTTATTCAAGAATTGGCCAAAAGTGTTGCTTAGATTTAAGATAAAAATGTATTATTTATGTATCACAGTAAGCAGACCAGGTCTTTTACAGGCTATTCGATGTTTTATATGCCTTATGGGCTCTTAATTTTATTTTCACTCGTCAAGTGACCTGATAAAACCCACTGACATAAAGTTGTACTGCAGGTTTTGGCTTTTAGCTTTTATTATATTTCAGAGTCACCCAAAATATCTTTGTGTTGAAAGTTGTATCACAAAGTCTAAGATATGTACTTTTTTGTTTTATTTAAAAAAAATGTTCCAAATATACGCTTCAATCTCATTATTAAGAACTTTTCTACTTTTATTTGAGCTTTCTTAAAAAACTAGCAATGTTAACATTTTCCTTTAGTGGAATAAAATGGTTTCTTTCCAATCTTTGTCACATTTTCCACAGACTTGGATCTGGAGCTGGATGGGTTGTTGCAGGAGTTCCAGGATGTGGTGGAGGAGCTGAAGGCCCCCTCTCTGAGCAAACCACATCCTTACCAGCACGTCTTGCAGGAGGCCAAAAGTCGCACGGGGCTAGGAGACGACAGCGGAGTGGAGGACTCGGATTACAGTGAGTGACACAAAACCATCGCACTAGAACAATGTGGCAGTTAATAAGATAATGTTTGCTTATTGTACAAAGTGTGGATAAAGAAGGACATTATTTAGTGCATCATTTTGTTGTGAGTGAGGTTATCCCCATGGGTGCCGGTTGAGCCCCTTTATCAGCCAAAACAACTGCAGCTTGACTCTTTTAATTTGCATGATATTAGTATTACAAGGGGACACATCCCTGTATGTACACTTCTATGAAAGGGGCTGTTTTGATCATGACAATAGCTGGGTACCAGAAGGAACTCCAATTATGAATAACCCATCTTCTGTAATTGTCTGTTTTTTGTTTTTGTTGCTGCTGTTGTGCATTTGTCGAGGGTTATGATATAAAAGAAGATTGTGTGTTCCTCTGCTCCCTTGCGTCATCATTATTGAAAGTATTTTGCCCCCCTAATGTTTTAAAAGCCGACAGTGAATACGCGTTTACCTTCATTTTGCTGCATCTTATTTCATTATCTGCTTTAAAATTGTTTGTTATTGTTTGATCATTTGCATGGGCTGGCCTTAGTGCTTGTCTCCTGTTTATTATTTCCGCTCACCCCCTTCTCGCCTCCCTCTCCCCCCAGGCAGCGAAGCTTCTTTGGGAAACAGTTTGAACGCCAGCGAGGAGGAGCTTCACACAGCAGGCATAACGCTGGCACCGAAAGGTACTAACTCCCATCAGCCCATCTCCATCCAGATAGCCCTCCTTCTTACAGTGATCACTATCACTTTTACTCTGATCACTATCGCATCCACACAAAAACCCTCTACTTCAGGCTAGGAGCTCTTTTGTTTTTACACAACAAAGCCCCCTGCCGCTGCGACTGTAACATCTCAGCACCCCCACCCCCCCCCCTCTCCAAGCCTCCTGCAGGGGTTATTTGTGCTGTTGTGTAGCTAGGATTCACTTGGGTGTATACATGAATGAGAATTGTTGCATTCTGTGACATGTAGATGCAACTGTTACATCTATATGGACTAAAACAAGACATTGTCATTCACAAATGTCAGGGTTTATGCAGATAACCTCAAAGATATTTGCATGATTTTACATAGATCCTGGTGGGATCCATCAAGGTGTCTGGGATTTACTTAAAAGCAGCATTATCTCAGTTCTAAGAAAAAAAGATGAGCTTTGGTTCATATGTAACTCTGAGATTAGTTTTCAGATTCTGGTCCAAGGGAAAATACCCCCCAACTGAGCCGCATTTCCCCACAGAAATGTTCCATTGCTTTACGTCAGTTACTACAATTCCTTTTCTCGCTGTCCTCTTTCTGCAGCCAAGCTGGGAGACACAAGGGAACTTGAGAGTTTTATCGACATGTTGGACCGAGAACTTGCAGGTGTGTATTTAAGATAATTAACCCCCATATTACTTGGCCCTTTCTTTATTCCGTTTGCCCTTAAGCTGACAAGCTGCAGGCTGCTGGGTGTAATAGGGGCAGAGACCCGGATTGGAGTGCATGATTTGTTACACATTGACAGAGTGCGTAGTAGTAGCCAGCCACCATGTTTATACCCTGTACTACCCCCCATCCTGTTTATCTTGGAGCACCTCTTGTGTGTAAATGCCATGTCTGGGGACTCAGGTGGACTATCTGCACGACCTTTAGTGATAATAGTGTACTTGACTACATGAACAT